ATATATATAAATATAAATATATATATATATATATATATAGCAATATATAATATGTATATAAAAACTAATTAATATTAATAATGATAATTTTATATCCCCACATTACATGTCCATTCACGAGGGGTATTTCTGATTTTGCAGTGGCTGTACGTACATTATCCAAGGACCCAGTACATTCTGCATTAGCACTGAACATTTTACATTTGCATTTATATCCCTAGGTGAATAGAAATAAATCTATACTGTATATAGTAGTGAATGCTTTTTTGCATCATCGTAAGAGTTAACAACAAAGGTTAAACTGAATGAATTAAACAGACCTTGCCAAAAGGACACCAGCAGCTATCTGTAGTATATTTTGAGATAATACTTCAAGTAAAAACTTTATAGAAACTGAACATTACTTTACCTTGCACAGTTAGCTATCATAACCTTAACCCTAGAAAACTTGTGATTCATACTTACTACTTACTATTTAAGGAAACCCCTGCCTTGTGAACTGCTAGTAAAATGGAAAATGAAAGACAGATTTTAACTTCAGGTCATGAAGTGTGTCATGCTAAATGTGATGTCTCACCACGAAATGAGACGCATCGTTGGTGAAATCATATTGAGATATTCACCAAAATAGGTCAAAGGCAGCATTTTTACAAAATTTTGATTTTAATGTTTTTGAATAACTTGATCTTTATATTTTATGATTGTGTACTTTTTAAGTGAATTTTCTTACTAAAACAGTGTTCTCTTCGCATATTCTGTACTTCTAGTCCTATTATTTGTACAGGTTAGTTTATCTTTGAGGCCGATTTTCTCAAAACCTGGTTCTCATACACCTAAACTTTAAATGCTAACACCTCTGGATCTACTTATCCTAGGGAAGCCATTCAAAGACCAAATTAAAGCTTATAATGTGATCTACCAAAATGTAATAGTAACTCATTTTTTGATTTTCTAACGATGAGACTCATTTTGTAGTGAGACCTCACAAATATTAAGTCTTAATGTTTAGCTAAAGTGTATTGTATTATTAAAGATTATTTAACATCATAGTTCTTATATTTTGAAAAATCTATGTGTCAAAAAGTCAATTTTGTTTGACAAATTGTAGAAAATTAAATTTCCTAATAAACAAAACCAAAAATAAAGGGAAAAAAAAACATTTAAATATATCGTAGCTTATACCACAAACTAACACAATGAAAGCAGATTGTGTTAGTTCATAAAACAAAAAGACGTGTTAAGTAAATATATAGATTATCAAATCACAGTTAAAATGCATTTCTAAACTAAATTTTCTTTCATACATTTCTTTATCCACTAAACATTTATGGATGCTCATAATTCTTTCATTCTTCATTCAGCCAAACATGTACATTTACAATTACAACGGCAACAACGGAGAAAAGAACGATCAAGCAAATTGGGCAAGCAACAAATTTAACAATATTATCTAAGTTGTCTAAGATTGATAATAATGATGAACACTCTAGCTCAAAAGCTTACCAACCCAACCCAATAATCATTGTTTTAGTCTTTGAATCTATTTTTTTAACTTGTAGAATTTCAACTCAGTGGTCCAGAAAGACCATAAAATCACAAGAATATCCAAAAGCAAGCCTGTAAAGACATCAGGGCCAGAGGCAAAAACGCGGACAAGAAATCAACGAGGGAGCGTACCACCAGAAAAACTCAATTCTGTTAAAAGACCATCTGGAATTGATGTGACAAAAAACGAACGAATGAGTGTACCAAGTGAAACAAGACAATCTCAAACTTCTCGAAAGGCTGTCTGGAAGTGACAGTGCCGTGTCTGGGAGACATTTTTTCAACTCAACTTTCACCCTCTGACACCGATCATCATATTAGATTTTGTTATCCTTTGTATTATAAAATTATCCTTTATATTCTAAGATAATAATATTTTACGTCAGTGGTACAAAAAAACAAAGGAACGTCCAAAACACAATACTTAAAGATGAATGATTTAACAAGATACATCAAATTTCAAGAACAACTAACACTTAAAACCAACTCAAACATTTTTAATTAATCCCCAACTCCCTCCTTCCCTGATAATTCAAATGTTGTCCTTCCCCACAAATAAAACTGAACTTTACCCTTTATTTTCAGAAAGAATATTGTAAGTACCTTCATCCCCCTTAAAACAATATAAAACTTAAAACTTAATCATTGAAAAAAACAGTAAGGCAGAAAAGTAAAAAAGTAAGAAGCCAATTGAAGTTGGGAGTTTCTACTAAATCACATGATAGAAAATGTTACATGCAGGTTTTAGCCGATGTCTGCTGCTAAATTTTATCTGTGTGAATGTATTGTATATCTATGGAAGATTAGCGTGTAACGTCCTTATTGCCTGTGTGTAAATTATACCAAATTTTAGCAAGGTTTGCATTTGCTCATATGAAGATGATGTAGTTATATTCTGTATGAAGATATTCGTGTAATGTTTTGGCACTTGTTCCATGTAATATTTTATCTCGTGTAAATCAGGTTTAAGATGTTTCTTAATCATATCCGTAGTGGCTAGTTTGGAAATGACCCTTCACCTCTGTGTTGTTACTGTATTCGTTGACTGACACAGGCCAGTAAGAACTGGAAACATTTAATACTACAGTATTTTCATATTTTTGTGGCCCAAAAATCCGGGGCACCAACTTTGACAATCTTCCAAATATAATTCCAACATCCTTTTGAATTAGTTTATTTTTCTCCAGTGCTCTCAACCAAAAATCCGGTCGACTGCTTCTTTAATATGAAGACTTATATTTTGTTTTTTTGTGCCAGGTTATGAAATACATATGGTATTAATTTATTAATTATTAAATTAAATTTTGATAAACAAATTCATATAAAAACACAAACAAGTATGTTTATTAACTACTCTTGTAATTAAGTAGTGTTTATGTAACTTTTTCATGGCCATCTTCATTAGTATTAATTTATCAATTATTAACTTCAGTGTATTAATTGTAATAAACCATTCATTATGGAGACACTAAACATTTAAGCTTGTAATAATTGTCATATGTGTTCATTAATTCAGTCAATCAATCAGGCAGGCTGTCACCTTCCTGTCCGGCTTCTGTGGCAGAACGCCAAACCGTGCTGGTGTCTTTGTAAGTTTTGAACAACTTCTAAAACCATAGTATTGCAATGGTATAAATTATTCAGTTATTTTAAAGAAGCTGTATTTGTGTGAAGACAAACAGTTGAGCTTAAATTTATTCAGAATTATTATTATCTCATAGTTTAAATACAATTCAATAGCAAGCTAGGGATACAATTACATAGTTATCCATTCAAATGAAGTGAGATGATATGCATGACTCTTAAATTATTAATAAATCTTACTTTGTTATAAATATAAACACTAAATTATATCTATATGTGTGGATAAGTTGCATTCGATTATTTATTATTTTCATTTATTTGAATCCTTTTCGTGGATTGTAGATAATACTATTGTAATTATAGACAGTTCTTAAAATCAAGTAAATCTACTAAAGTTAATGTATGTATGTGTTGAAAATACTGTTTTTAATGCCCTGTCCAGACTATCAAATTTTAATTGACATAAACATTCGACAATGCTAAATATGTTCATGATATGATGTTGTATGCGCATGATGACTATATATGGGCATATAACAGTTTTTTGTCAATGAAAATTTGATATTGTACAGAGTTGCAGAGTTTAGTGCTGTGCTGTGTTATCATTTCTAATCAGTTTACTCTTGTTTACCATCGATTAACATTCGTTTTAGCAACATGTACTGGGAAAACATATTTACTTATACTAAGCATTGTTTCATTGTTCTGTAAAGATGAAAATATACTATTGAAAACTATTTAATATGGTACATTTCACCAAATGTGATTCTGAGTGTGTGGGAGGGGAGATATGTTTATTAATGTTTTGTACACTTGATTCTGTAGAGATATATTATAATGTTTAATGTTCACATTTTGTATTATATTTTTGTAGTTCATGTACTTTTCTATTATGTGTGACAGGTGGATAGTATAAAACTAGGCTCTGTCCACACTATAAATATTTATGTGACAGTTTAGTATGTTTTGCCCATATATGGGATGAAGATATTATATCACACTCATATGGGCATGATGATAACATCACACCCATATATGGACATGATGATCTCACATATATATGGGCATGATGACATATCACACCCATGTATGGACATGATGATGACATACAGTACCACACCCATATATGGACATGATGATGATATCACACCCATATATGTACATGATTATGACATATCACACCCTTATATGGGCATGATGATGACATATCACACCCTTATATGGGCATGCTGATGACATATCAACCATGGACATGATGATGATATCACACCCATATAAGGGCATGATGATGTCATATCACACCCATATATGGACATGATGATGACATATCACACCCATATATGGGCATGATGATGACATATCACACCCATATAAGGGCATGATGATGACATATCACACCCATATATGGACATTATGATGATATCACACCCATATATGGACATTGATGATGACATCACATCCATATATGGACATGATGATGATGACATCACACCTATATATGACATGATGATGACATCACACCTATGGGCATGATGATGTTGTAACATACCCATGGACAAACGACAGGTTTTGTCACATGAAATATCATAGTGTGAGCAGAGCTTAAGAGAGGGATAGACAAGTAGAAAAAACATATTAATTATAATATTTCTTACCTCAAAAAAATTGAATGACTTTTTAAAGTATCTGATCTGATTATAAATTCTACTTGTGTGGGAGAGATAAATACTATGAATATCCTTTTAATATATGAAATATTTTATTTAATTTAAAAAAAAAACTATTTATGTCAGTTTGGATATTTTAGAATTTAAATTTGAGTTTCTATTTATAGAAATGTATAATTTATTAATTTAAACTAAAACATAATTCAAAAGATTTTTCCAAGGCTATTTTAATTTTTTTTTTTTTTTTTTTTTTTTTTTTTTTTTTTTTATTTTCTTCTTTTATTTTTTTTTCTAAGATCATCCCTTGATATTTTCCATTCAAGCCATATTTAGGCAATTTTACAAGTTTTTTGTAAATTGTGTCTGTGAGCTATTTTTATAGGCATTTCCTCTCTGGGCAAATTTCCAAATTATTTGACTTCCTAGCGTTACTGATTTTTAAAGAAACCGTCTTCCTATGTATAAATGTCGGTTGCATATCTCTTAATAAATTTTCCCTCACGTTACTTTATATTCAGTTTGTGTGAATGTAAATGGTACCCAGTTACTATTATGCCAAATTAAATGCTTTGAAAAGTTTTAAGTAAAGTTGTATTTTTTGAAAAATTAATAGGTATCATAGTAGCTACCTATGATTTCTTAAACTTTGAAATTTTTTAGATTGTTCTGTACTAATTGTACAGTAATATATTTTGTAGACTTTTATACAGTGACAGTTGCTAGACAAACAGTTCTAAATATTTGGTGCTTTTAAACAAATACACCTTTGAAAATACTATGCAGAATTCCAAATTAGAGTTTTAATTCATATATGTATATTTGTATATTATATTGTACAGTAATTACTTTTTATGAACTATTGATAATAAATTTAGTTTTGACGTGAATTATTTTTCATTTTATTTTATGCTGACCCATGATAACCCACTAAGTCCGAAGACTTATTTCCAGTGGGGTCCTTCTGGTGGTGATTGGACAGTACACCGGGAGACAATCCCCTACTCTTTTCCGAAGAGTGTACTGCGTTCTTTAAGATGCACACGGGCCATATTGCACACGGGACCAACGGCTTAAAAATGTCTCATCCGAAAGACGGTGAGCTATCGTAACTTGTATTTGGGCACTTTCGCTGCAACACAAGGGCAGGCAGCAATGGGATTTGAACCGGGGACCTAGAGATCTCCACGGTTCAGCACACACACAGTGGCTACCACTAGTTTAGCCAGCCGAGCTAAGCTGCTCTCTACTATTTCTCAATGGATTTCTATACTTCTCACTTTTGTTAATTTCCTTGTGTTTTGTTTTTTCTTTTTGCTTTATTGGTCCCTTTGGATGTTCTATCAAATTCATCCTTAAGGCCTGTTTATACTTCAACGATAACGATAAAAAAGCTAAAAAGCAATTGTTCATATAGAAAATAAAAGAAATAAGTGAAGTTTTTACACTAGAACGATTTGATAACGATTTATCAGTTATGCGATAACAACATATTTTGACAAATCAAATCAGATGACGTCATAATTATGGAAAAACATTAAAATCGTTGTAGTAGCAATGATTTTATCGTTTGTCCATGATTATGACAGTTGAGGTTCAGGGGTGCTTTGGTAACCGGGAAGGGATTGAGGTAAGAGTTGTTGTGGGATCAGGGCATAATGAAGAAACTAGCATAATGTAAGTGGCGAATTTTATCATCATTTTGATGGTTATTTATGCAAGGGAAGAGGGCGTGTTTGTTTCATCAGAGAGGGAGAGAGAGAGAGGGGTTACGGGCCTTCTAGTTTTTGTCGTGAATATCTTGCGTAGAATCATATTTTTACATGGGTAATTGGCAATGAAACTTTTCATATTCATAAATTTCAACCGAAATGCTAATAAAATCACTTTTCAAGTGTTTAGTTATACTGTATTTGATAACCTTATCATTCTTCTTTGTTTTATAATACATTGTAAACCATCATCAAAATTGTCTGGAGAACAGTCGGCGTAATGCCTATGGGCCTGGAGTGTGTGAAAATATAGTTGAGGGTGAAATTGAACGTTCAACTACTACCATCACCAATATTTCAATACAATTTTATTCATTCATTCATTTTATTCAGACATAATAATTTTAAATACAGTATTTTTGGATGTGAAGTGAGTTAAATGTATCTATTAATACTACGGCCTACCCCCGGCCTATTTAGGCTACACCCCTATTAAGGGAGAACTTTTTTCGGACCTGAATGTCACATTAATAGGGGTTCTAGTGTATGCAAATGAAATCAATTCCAAGGATGACAAGGAAAGTCAACTGTAAACAATTCAAACAAAGGAATTTACAATAATATAATTTAAAAATAAAGCATAAAAAAATGATTTAGGGAAAGGGAGAAAATACAAAATCACTCAAAAGGTCACACAATAAGTTAAAAAAGTGGCAAGAATTGGAAATATATTAAAGTTCAATGACCATTTACAGAATGAATATTTACAAAGTTATTTTTTTATTAGTTAATTATTTTAAAATTTCATTAAAGACAGTAAAAGCACAATTTACATGGGAAAGAAAAACCACATTTTTTGCAGGAACAAATTAAGATCTTATTTTTGGGGGCTCATATAAATAATTTTAATGGCAATAATTATGATTATAATCATTTATCAATTCTTTAAATAATAAAAGTATCAGAGAACTGCTATATATAAAATCGTGGCGTATCTAGAAGTCTTGAAATGGGGTGCTGATAATGGTGGGTGGAGGGGGGACGCGAAGGTGAAGTGGAGGGTCTCGATGGTCAGTTGAGGAGCGCTGATTAGGTGATTTTAGGTGACTACTTATTATTGACTACTTGCAAGTGATTTTTTTTTGGGGGGATGACTGGGGGAGCGAGTAATTTTTGGAGGGGCATGCCCCTCCCCACGATATGCCACTCTATAAAATACATGAGCTGCAGTAAATTTGAATTTGATAATCAGCTGTTTTATTTGATTTTTTAAAAGGGATTTATTCTTCTCCAAAAAAAGGTACACAAAGTTTAGTGAAAAAGGTACCACAGGCTATATTGCGTTAAAATATGACGAATCTTATTGGTTAATGTTTCGCGCTCTTTTTTTAAGAGCCCCACAAAAGGGAGGGAATTTGTTTTGGTAAAATTGATTCTCAGAAACTGAGGTCCTTTTTTTTTATGTATGAGTTGGGCCTAATTACACCAGTTAAAATGTCGGTTAGACGAGGGGCACTTATAATTCTCGAAGGAGTCGACCGTTCTGGAAAATCAACACAATGTCGGAAACTTGTCAAAACATTACAGGAACAAGGGGAAAAAGTACATTTGATGAGATTTCCAGGTAGGCCTAACCTAAGCCCGATCGTACGCTATGCCTGGACGATTGCGTAGTCTCACTCTGCGGAACAAAGGCAGCTAAGTTAACCTTAGGCTAGGCCCAGACCCTTAGGCTTACACTTAAAACTACTGGAGTGTTAAAATGCGGGACACAGATTGAAGTTTGAAAAATAGGACATTGTACACTTGTAATACTACTGTTATAGAAAGGGGGATCAGGTGCGATCCACGCGGTTATGTAGGCTAGGGGTAGGGCCTAGGCCTAGCCGAGGTCGAATAACTTAATTAATGTTTTAGCCCCTAGACTAGGCCTAACCATAACTTATTGCAAAGGATCCTATTAAGCAATTAGTAGAGCTCCGCATAGTACACTTTAGGAAAATTATTATACGAAGGTTAGATTTAATGCTTGAAAAAGTTTCCTGAGGGCCTTTTTAGTACTAGTAGTAGGCCCTAGTAATAGGAGGAGGCCCGGGCGGCCTCCTGCCTGGCCATTGGCCTACATCTAAATTTGTTCCCTGAGTCTTTAAAATAGGTCTAGAATATGTCTATTAAACGTTCAGTTTGTTGTATTTATGAGAGTCTATTGATTGATTCAATGAATTCCTTAATTGTTCATACTTAATATTGAATTTGAAGTAACTTTCATCGGGTTCTAATTAAGCTTGTTTTACGAAAGTAATTTTCAATTACAATTCAATTTTTATTGCGGCGTGCGATGTATTCGCGGTGGTGAAGAAAAAATGAGGAATTTTTGCACACGAACCTTAAAAATATCAAGCCGAGTGTCCAATAATACAAAAATTATTGGACGCTGGGGAATAGGCAAATAACATTGGGAGTTACAGTGATGACGTCACGATTGACTTATAATATTTATTATTGGACCTCCGCTGCGCACCCGTGGTCCATGCATAGCACCTGATCCCTTGATATTAAGTCCTGACTGAGGGACCTTTTTGAGGAACTTGACAAACGGTCTTTGTAGAAATAGGCCTAGGCCTAATATAGGTGTAAAGAATAATATCAGAATAATTATTTGTTATATCTCAAGTTTTATTGCATTCTTAATAATAATAATAATAATAAATTAAGAGTATAGATTTGTATAATATAGTGCCGGTATCCATCAAACAAGATGCTCATGGCTTTTTTGATATGTGGACTAGTAGCTTGATCATGACTTTCTTCACCCCTTAAAAGGTAAAGGTCCCTTCGTGTCTGTGCTACCTGGTAACCCAGTACCAGCAAGTACAGGATTTCTCAAAGGAGTCAATTGGTGCCTAGGTGGGGTTTAGGGGAAGAGCTTTGTGTTTGTCAGGTTGGGTGGGGGTGGGAGCTGAACAGTCTTAACATGTATAAATCATTAAATACAAATATTTGATGTGTAGTTGGGTTTTTTGGAGTGTGGTACTCAAAGTGGGATTTGGCCGAAACCACAGCAAATCTCCTGTTTAGAGGCCTAGCAGCAAGGGAGAGAGGCATTTATATAAAGTTTCTTACCAATGGACATTCTCTACAGTACATCAGAAGATTCATTTCCACCCATAGAACTAAATACTGTATGCTGCTCATCCACAGCCATGACAAGTTCAGTTTCAATAGCCAGAGAATTACTGTATATTTTAACAAATTTTAACCAACATGAAAAGAACATTAACAGTTCATGAGACAGCTTTTTGATTTTTGCTGCAACCATCTTTCAGATTGGGATAGTTTTATTGTTTTGTGGCAATATTACACCATCCGCCCTTATTTAAAATTGTCTTTGGTGTAATTTTTTCAGATAGGACCACAAAAATTGGCAAAGTAATAAATGAATACCTGTCACAGAAGTGTGAGCTGGAAGATCATGCGATTCATTTATTATTTTCAGCCAACAGATGGGAAGCACTGTAAGTTTCTGACAAATTGTTTTTTATTTATGATTTCTGAAATGTATTCACATTATAAAATGTCAGTATTCACAATGTCGACTAGAAGAATCACTAATGTTGAAAATAAATTACAGTATTAAGCCTTACGTCTGTTTAGGTAATAAATTTTTAAAATAATCAAAATTTGAATTGCTAATAATTTAATTTACTAAATTATTATCGTTCAGATAAAAATTTACAAGAATTATTTCTCTGCATAAAATAGATGTTTCTTACATACTTGTTAGCCTGTTTCAGTGCACTGCTGGATGTGCAGTAGGCCTCTACATGTAAATCAATTTTCCACTGCTGGAACATCTCAATGGCATACTGTAATTCCTCTGGTGTAAGCCCTCTTGTACTCAAAATTGAGCCAATTTTTTTGGGTGGCCTTATACCCAAGAATCCCCTTTTAAAGTCAGTAACAATTTTTTCATCGCTGTATATTTAATTGAAAGCCAATATTTGATGTTTTTTCTGGGAATATTTTGCCTGAGGAAAGGCTGGTATATAAAGTTGGCCATAAAGTAGGGGGTGGCTTATGCCCTAGGAACTACGGTACGGTAGTTGAATTTATTCAATCATTTATTATGAGCTGTCATTCCTCAAAACAGTTCAATTATGAATATTTTTCAAATTTTACTGCAGATAGAATATAATCTTTAATCATCATAAACTAGGTAGTTTCCCAAAATAAAATTTTATTACTTTAAAGACTTGCATCTCTTACTGGTACAATATGTTGTTGCTATATATGAATATTAATCATGACTACCTTGTGTTAATTTACTTGAAGTCCCAAGATTAAGGAGCTGATACACAGCGGAACCACTGTTGTCATAGACCGGTACGCTTACTCCGGTGTGGCGTTTACGGCAGCAAAACCTGTAAGCAACCTACTTACGTCAATGATGATTCTAACAGTGTATTTGTTCATTTATTTATGCCTTCAATGCATACGATATGAATAAATATATTATTTATTAAAACGATTAATTAAAAATTACTATTTACTTATGTTACAATCATAATGATACTGTAATGAAAATACTAAGATTATTATATTTATTAAAATTATTTTGAGCTACTAAGTCGTTTTGTAATATAAATTTCATTATTGTTGTAGGCCTAACTATTGTATTGCTCACAAATACTACTGGTATATATATATTACAGTCATTATATTACCTAGTGTAATGATAATACTGAGATTATTATATTTATGGAAACTATTTATATCTAGTCATTTTTTTTTTTATTATAATTATTTCAGTATTGCTATAGGTATGGTTCACAATATTTTACATCTGCATTGGCTAAATGTTTTGTAACATGAAAGTCTATTTAAATTCATAGAAGATAACCCTTGAATTTATCATATAAATTACTGTCTAAATATTCATATGTACAATTTTTTTTAAAGGGTTTCCAAATAGATTGGTGCAAAATTTGTGATTCTGGACTTCCACGTCCTGACTTGGTCTTGTTCTTGAAAATATCCATAGAAGATGCCGCCAATAGGGCAGGCTTTGGAGGCGAACGCTATGAAAAGACTGATTTTCAAGCTGAAGTATCCAAGAATTATGAACTGTTACGCGATAACGATTGGAGAGTAAGTACTGTACAGGCCTCCCACAAATTAAACAACACTTTTGGGACCATGGTTTTCCTTGTCTTCAGCATCTTTAGTCTCCAATTAGAAAAATAATTATAAAACTAAGGGATAAGTGTTCATCCAGGCCCATAGAAAAGTCGTCTTTAATTGGGGGTGGTTTGTATTTGGAGGAGTTTTTAATTACAGAGAAACTTAATTATAAAGCGGCAGGGGTCCCAAGTCTCCAGGAAGTCGTGGAAATCGGGACGGCCTCCCACACTCCCAGAAAATTACCCATCTCCCACAAATTCATAATATTTGCATGTTTTTACTAATTTAATATCAATTTTCTCACGGAAGTCAGTGCCGATCGTTATAAATTACGAAAGTTTAATAAAACCAGATCTCCCAGAAGGGCTTTCATACAACGTGGGTCCCCTGAAATGGGCTTTTATCAGATAACTGTTTGGTTAATAACTACTTTTATTATTAAACTATTATTATTTAATTAATGATAATTTTATAATAATAATAATTTATTATTATTATTAATAATAATTATTATTGTTATTGAATTATTATTATTATTATTATTATTAATAAGCAAACTTGTAGATCCCTTCAGCCTGAATTTTTTTAATCCAAAACAACTGACCCTTAAGCCAAATATTAAAATGAATGATGCCAACTCCTATCCCCACAAAACTTTTTTTTTACAATTCAACTTTAATTGAAATCTCCATATAACCATCAGCCGAAATTATTTTTGTTGTACTGTATCCGGGTATTGACTGTATTTTTCTTTTATTTTTCTGGACTTCTTCCAAAATATTATTACAGTCATTGATATTGCCAAGTATCAATTGGCACATTCTTTAAGGAGAGTTAATTAAATGTTTAATGATGTTTTTCCTGTTAATTAGTTCAATAGAAAGAGTTTACCTTGATTTTTTTTTTGGAAACTGTTCACAGACCGTTGAGGCTGGAAGGAGTATAGAGGAAGTTCATGAAGACATTAAACAATTAACAATGAAAGCGATGGCAGCGTGTGCCAACCAACCATTAGGGAAGCTGTGGACTACTTTATAACGAGAAAATAACCATGTGGATATAAAAAAAAATGAATGAATGAATCAAATCAAATCAAATTGTAGAGGCGGTTTATATTATGATGGTTTAAATTTTGTCGTATTTAATGAGGGTGATTGAGCGATGATGTGGGGAATATCGGCGCTCTATTCTCTGTAGCATAACCCAGCCAGAAGATTTGTACCGGAGTACATGTGAAACAAAGTGTTACATTGGACAGATGTTATGAGGACATCCCAAGATATTCTGCTAAAATCACTGTCATCTTTATGCTTGTGAACTCAAATCTTGCTAAAAGTCTGTAAAATTGGCATTCCAACTCTGAAGATAATGTGATGTATCAGTCTAAGATAACCTGCAACACAATAGAGTTGTTCAAGCTGAATATTCCAGGAGTGTTGCACGTCTCTGCGATGTCTATTTTTCTTACATGGATATTACTTGGAATGCATGCCAATTTTACACGGATGCGTCTAACTTGGATGCTACGTAACAGACATTTGCTAAATTTTTCCCAGCTCCCATCGTGTGTAACTTTGTCACATATGTAATGGGTATTAGGAAGTGGGGTTGTTTTTGATTCTGAGATAAATCTTAACAGAATTAACCTAAATTGAAATGTTTGATAGTATAGACAAAGCCTTAGGCTTTGTAGGTGAGCATCTAAATTAGTTAATATTTTTGCCTACATGCATCCACTATCTTTTATTTAATGATATTGTCATGTGATTGACTGCTATGCATTACAGTCTAATTGTTTATATATTGATATAAAGTATGTATGACACTAATATACTGTAGTAGTGGCAGTAGCACTTTTATTTAAAGCACATGGTAATTTATATATACAGTTAAACTTGCCTAAATCGAATAATTTCTAATAATGTGGCATCTAATTTTAACATGCCAAATTGTTTTTTTCCATCATTTAACAATATGTAAGTCAAATTTTATCTAAGTCGAACAATATTTCAATGTCATTTTGGATTCGACTTTAGGCAAGTTGATCTGTACAATTAATGTTGTAGGATGGTCAGTTAATAATATTACAGTATGTGTAGCATTTAATTATATTGATATTGAAGAATTACAGTAGTTCCTAGTAAAATTGGACCTACAATAGCAAAGATTCTTTAATAAATATTCTATTTTATCAGTGGAGAAGTTATTCTGTTTTGATTATATTTCAGCATAGTTTTAAAAAACAATACAGTATGTACTGTGCCATGATATTCAAGCTGAATAAACATTGTATTGTTTTTCCACTCTACAGAATATAAAGTGATTAACGACGTTATGTTATGTTATTAACTATTAATGCCTCCTTTTATATTACTTTCAGCTTCATGGGGCAGTACGGAAAGTACAGAAGCAATGTATCAGTTGGAAAAATTTGTTTGTTTCTTTGCTAAGGAAATTTATATAAAACCAAATTGGATTCAACTTTTCTAGAGTAAAACATCAGCATATTTTACAAAGTTTCAAAGATGACTAAAACAACAAGCAGTGGCAGATCCAGGATTTTTGTTTGCCAGGGAGGTGGGAGGGTATTGTGGTCTAAAAGCACAATTTGGGCCATACTACAGGAGTTCCAAGTCTTGCGGGAGTCTCCCTTGAATCGAATGTTGTCGCACTCCCGCAAGAATCACCCGGAAATTAACCCATCTCCACAAATTCATAATTTTGCATGTTTTCACTGCTTTATTATCAATTGTCTCACAGAAGTCATTGCCGATGGGTATCACTTTGTGCAACAAAATAAAATGAATGCGACAAAAAAGCTCATTAACCAGATCAGTGGCGGATTCGATGGAGGGGTAAGCCAGCCCGAGCTCCTTAAATATTTCAAAATTATGAAAACTAGAAAGCAAGGAAAATTATATTCAAATCCAAGCATGAGAGTGCCACTTCCGGCCACAATCACAAAACCATCCCACTTCAACAGACTGAGGCTCTAAATTGCCCATTGGCTCGGACCCTCTTGTTAGCCAATTTCCATTTTTTTGGATGCTGCAGAGAAAGGGAGTGCCCTTTTTGCCACCCATTCATATGTATAATTATTTTTAAATTGTGAAGTGGGAGCTCAATGATGAAGTGAAGGAGCGTTAGTAAGCAATACAAGATGATATGTGGTGATTTTTATCTACTTGAGCATCATCATTTGCTTCAACATTTTTAATGGGGGCAGGGAACAATTTTTTTTTTTTATGGAGAATCCCCTAAACACGCCACTGCAAACTGGGAATAAATTATTTATGGTTAATCTAATTAAAGTTCGCTTACATGCTACATGAACTTCATTTGGTCTGGTGCTTCATTTTTTTAATTATTTTTATAATACAAGATATTTTATCATATTTTGTATTTTATATGTAATTGATACGGAATAAACAAATTGTGCGATGGTACCTCTAAGCACCTGAAAAGCAAGGTAAATTAAATATTACAAAACAACCGTAAAGTATTTGAATTTATGACTGGTTCCTGAGCTGTGGAAAAGTGTGAATTTCAGAAAAAGCTTGAGCATTTAAGGGGCTGGCGTCGTGCGAGAGCTCGCTATTGGGTCTGAAAGCGTGAGATTTTGTAGCTATGGATGGTAACAATACAGTGAAGATGATATTGGTACCGTACTGATAACTTAAATAATCTAATGGCGATAACAATACCATTATGATGATAATGACACCGTATTGATTACTGCTGCTACCAACCCAGACAACAACATTATAAACGGAACAATGACACTTGATACTAGTTTGCAGGTATTCATTGTCAATGAAACTTAAAAAACAAACACCACATCACTGTAGATGTAAATCATTGATTATTGAATCTCGGAGCATTTCACATTTTGTAAACTCATTGTTCAAAATTATTTTTTGATTCATGGTTTAGCTTCCAAATTTAATTTTCCATACGATCTACATTCTACACATTTTGATCAAAAAATATTTTAAAAGAACACTAAATTATCATTTATTTAACCAGATAACATCTTGTTGTCTCCTTCATTTGACACGATGTAGTAGGCCTTCGTCTCTCTCCAACACAACATCCATCCTCTCCCACCACCTAGAGCTAACAATTAACCTTTCAAATTATCTTCCCTGATACACTGAACCTCCATGACTCGGCCAATGAGATAGTTAATGAATATGTCTTATGCAAGGGGAAAATCTAGGATATTTATGCCAAAGTAGTTGTCATGATGCACCAATCAAAGACCTATGGTGTAAGGAGTGGTGTTTGCGATGGGTATTCCCTTAACATAGGCATAACAATATACAGTACTGTATTAAAGATATATATATATATATTTTCACTGTTGCTGGGTGATTCCATTTTTGCAACCACTGCATTTGCAGCAATAAAAATACTCCCTTGCAAGTGAATGCTGTGTGTATTTGTTCATGCATTCTGTAGCTGGAGGAGTAATAATGTGAAATGTTCCGAGATTCAATAATCAATGATTTACAATGAGGTTTTATTGAAACAGGGTATAATGTAGGAAAGCAATGATTGCAAAACCACTCCGTTTCAAATAAATCAGTGACAGATTATAGGCTGGTTGTAAATCTGGGTCTTTTGCTGGTACAGTAGTAGGCTGCAGTAACAGATGCGTGAATGACTCCTTGGTTTACTGTAAACATTTGAACAACTCATACACTATTAGTATTACTATACTTGCACAATCTACCCAAAAGAATGGGTTTAATCCACGCCACTATATTTATATAAGTTAAATCAATCTGCATACATTATTTCGTCCTTTAAGGACTCATCAGTGCAGCTCAGATAAATTGAGCCTTAGCTATAAAACAAGCAAGCTTGTAACAAGGCAGTTTAAAAGCGCTCGTAATACCATGCAAGAGTGCTCAAACTACATATGGTAGTGGACCATATTTATATATATAAATATAGTGACGTATATGTATAACTAAAGCTATTAAATATATACCGTCTCTATTTGAAAGGAATTTTGTTGAACCAAGAAAGATTCCAATCAACTCAACTGACTGTAGGAAACCTACAGTCTGGTGGTCACTATGTGATAATGTTTGAGGCCAGAAAAAGTTGTTTAATTGACAAGAAAACTTTTCCTTGTTTAAGTTGTAAGCTTTTATTAAAACATTAACATACAATATAAGCAATTACATTTATTTTTTCATAGAAGTACTTCTGTAAATATTCTTATAAGCGTTTGAGAACTTAAGGTTTTTGAGGAACCCAAATTTTACCATACAGTATTGTTTAAAATGATTCCAACCCACCAAACCCGAAATTGTTTGTGTATGAAGATGTTATGTTCTGATATTGAAAACTAGAACAGAAACAATGAAACGATACTTTGGTTGTGATATTTATTATTTCTAAAATCAATCTTCAGACTTGTAACAAACCAGAAGGAAAGAGGAACGCCTTGAAGATACAATACCGTGTTAGTGTTAGTATTTACTAGTTTTCTACGTTGTACTCGTACATTAAGAAAGACATAAAAACTGTCAAAAAAGAATATGTACGAAGCTAGTGATTCTGTTACGACGTAAAATAATAGGCGTTTTGTTCTGAGCCTGACACGTGTCGGGGAAAACCAACCAACGGTGATTATTTCGTCTCTAAACGGAGGGTGATCACTACATCCGGGTGCAGTTTATACAGAACTAGGGCACATCAAAAAACTATACCACCATATTATACTGCTACTGAGCATCGTTGACAGGGCAAATCTACCATAAGTAGAAATCAACTGAAAAGTTAAAAATTACACTCAGTAAGATGTACAAAGCAGTAAATTATATATTTGTACTATCAGCCTCATTTCAGTGTGAGATTTGACCATGGACATGATCATATCAAATCATACTCATATGTGAGCATAACAATGTCATATCACACCCATATATGGGGTGTAACCAGACATTTATCACAACACCCATAAATAGGCAACTTGATGTCATAATCACACCCTTATATGGGCATGATGATGTCATATCACATCCATATATGAGTGTACCCAGACCTTTGGTATAACACCCATATATAGGCAAGTTGATGTCATAATCACACCCATATGTAAATGATGTCATATCACACACATATGGCAGAAAATCAGAAATATTTTTCACATGAAAGTGTACAAAGAGCTTAAGTTAAATCAGTTCGCTTAATTGATGACCAACGTACACAGGGTATGCACTTACTGTATATAGAACACTGTTTCATTAAAACAGTCACTACAGCAAGGGGTACAGCCAAGCCTAGATAATTTCATACCATGTGCAGGTGTTAAGTAGACCATATTTCTGAAACGGCAACTCTACAAGAAGGGGAACCAAACCCCTACAGAATGCTGGCTTGCAACTTTCACAACAATGATATAGTGTTTTCCATTCCTTTCAGCACACAATTTGAACACAATTGTTTATCACTCAAGAAAATTCACTAACTAACAGTAAATCAATACTAATGTGAAACACAGTAGATCTGTCAAACCATTTTGTTATGTCCTTTATCTAGTTTCAATTTAAGTGGGGTTTTACAATCCTGAGTGTCATTATTTTATCTTGACTGATAATTGGTGAGATTTCCTAACACTTAATACATATTGCCATACAACACCTATTTTTTAAACACTTTGAGCCTATTTTTCCAAAAATGTATACATCTCACAACTATTTCGGGTTTTATTTTAACTGTAATCATATACCATATACAACAGTCACTGGCTGGGTATTATAGTGTTTCATTCACGCACCGAAAATTGATGGTTCTTCAATTTATTTATTTTATCTAAATTCTAAAATCTACACAATTTTAACCAACATCATACGAAATGATTAAAGTTTGTAAAAAAATGTATGGTTTAAAGAAATTTCTGAATTGGATTTTCGGGGAATTCGAACCTAGCCTACGTCAGTCTACTCTAAAAATGCTGATTATTAACACGTCCATATAAAATTATATATTTAGATACCAGTTTTATGGGAACAACAAGATTTATTATGATACCAATATGGTTTTTTTTTTACACTTATCTTGCTACAATTTTATAATCAAGATTTTTTTAAAACTACATACAAGAACAGGATGTGTTTATTTATTTATTTATTAAATCGCATATTAAACACCAAAACATGGTGGAATCCATATTCAACCTTACATAGATTATAATCCAATATTTTTTAATATATTCTCAAAAGAAATTGAGGTAATTTTCAAAATAAGACCAACTCTCTATACAAGGTTAATATCCCTCATTCCTCTCATTCTGCATAGATTTAACCTACAAGATCTGAATTTTTTTCGGGAGGGGGAGGGTTAAGTAAAGAAGGTATATTCACTTAAAACAGGGGTACATAGGATGTAAAATGAGGATACATTTGGTATATAATGGGACAACTTCATCTGATAAATCGTTTTAGCATTCCAGATGACAAAAAATGTATAGTGCTTCTCGTTTCAAATCATTACCAACCAAATACTAGACATTCCAACAAAACTTGAGCTGGTCACTATGATTTATCAGTGATGGTCATATCAATGCGGAGCTCAGATCGATAACTAGTATCAAACAATCCATTGCCAGGCTCGATGTTGGCAGCATAGCTCTGGCAGACTAGACGTACCTCCCTGTTCTTTACACTCAGGTCAAACTGGATTGCGACTAGAGGAGAAACATACATATCCTTGTAATTATCATTGATGGCACCCAAGAATGGATAGTATTTAAATGAGAATCCAGGCACTGGTGCAATCATGGTACTGTTTAGGAGTGTCTGTGCATCTTTCTGAAATGAATAAAAAATAAAAAGAGAGATAAAAATTTGACACATATGTGTTATATTGTGCATTAATAATATTAAAAATAGAAATGTACAATTGCACAAACTCGATATATGAGGATATGAAGACCAGATCTTGATGCCTAGATTTGGAGAGTAATCCTATGACTCAGTAGCAGGATGTCAAACGCCGGTTTATAATTCAAGCACATGGCTACAGAGTGAGAACACAATTACCAGCATTTCCAACTTGCAGGTTAGGTCTATGCGACATGGACGATTTGTTCCAGATGACTCACTCCCCACCTCCTCCCCAACCCAAAAAAAAATTGTCTGACAAGAGACCAGGCTTAGCATGGACTTCTGTGAGAAACTTTTTGTTTTGGCATTCGCTGGTCGTGAGAGGAATCCTGTTACCATGACAGCAATTGAACCCAGGAACTTGGGATTGGAATGCAAGCATCTTAACCCCCAAGCTATTCAACTCCAATAAAGTATACTTATGAGCTATGGTCGATGTGCAGGTGGTATATACGCTATTTTTATTGTGGAAAATACAATAACTCGGAGACAGTCCAATAAATCATCACTTAATAAATTACTAATAGTAAACTTTGATTCACTTTTTAGAATTTTTGTATTAAAAAACACAAGAAAACAGTAATTTTTTTTAAATGATCAAGAGCAGCAAAATTTGGGAATTCACAATTTTCATCAATTTTTTTAATTTTTAAATCTTTTTTTTTTTTAAATTATAGAATGTAAGTTTGGACAAGAGTTATGTTTAGTTGCAAGAGAAACCGGACTGATCTTTCCATAAGTTTTCCACTTAATAATTGATGTGCTTTTCTGCTGTTGGATGCAAATGAAATAAATTAAATAAAATGTTTAACTCACATAAACTTGACATGCGACAGTTATGAAGTTCTCTTCGTGTGTCTTTTTAATCGCATCTGGTATACCATCACTTGGATAATTTTCTGGCTTCCAACCCCAGACCTGTAATGTAAATGCACATTCCCAGTTAAATTTACAAGCAAAATTACTAACTTTTACCATGGAGTTACCATCGATTCAACCAACTTGCTCCCTTTGCCTTATCAGTGTAGCCGCTGTATGTTCTGTGCATTCTTAATTAAAAAGATGTAATAGCCTACATACAGCACTGCACACAAGCTGCAGATACATCATACACTCTTGGTAATCAAGTCGCATTGATCATAGTCAAGTTGCTATACTTAATATTAAGCTAAACACGTCTATAACATCGTAATATTTACAAGCAACATCAGCAACATCTGCAGCAAGTCAACAGACAAACACTACTAATACACACAGATTGGGCCTAGACAAAATCTTTATAGAAACGGAAACACCAAAATGAAATATTCAGTTACAAAATTAAGTTGCAGATTGGTCTTGCAGACCACCTACAGACTAACAGGACTACACAATTTGTTATTCAATTTGAATATTTACCGAGCATCAGTGAAGTGAAGTTTTGCTACCTGACCTCAAATGGTAAAAACCTCTAATTTTTTTTTCTATTTACAATAAACACTTTGTCTTCAACATAATGAGGTTAATTATATACAACAGAAAATTACTTACCCTATTCAAGCCGACGAATATGCATGGTTTTCCGAATTTATATCCAAAATGTGGTGGTTTGCATACATCTCCAAATTGTTCTTCAATGTCAAATTCACATATTTCTTCCCGAACACCATCAAAATCACGAATTTCATTACCGACACAACTGCTGTAGTTTCCATTACCATTTCTCTCTAGATATTCTTAAACATGAATAGATAGAACATGAAAGATTAGAACTAAAACCAGTGTTTACTTAAGGCCTACATTATGGTAGATACTTCCATTCAATCTAGCTGTCTCCAGGGGGAATTGTTGCAATGCGAGATCGTCATACACATAGAATGCTAAATCCCGAAAAGTGGTTACTGCGCATTAGCAGTCAGATAGTGGGATAATAATAGTGGGTTGTTTTTTTTTGCGAAAAAGGGGTGGGCATAAAAATCGGTCGGAGGGCCAAAGTGAATTTTCGATTTAACACAGAGGGCCGCACCCAAACTTTGATGCTTCCAGGGATCTTCCAAGAACCTCCAAGCATTGCTTTTACACAACTACATTCTGAGTTTTACATATAATCGGTGTTGGGCCGTGAAAAACAAGGTGTTTTCTAGCCAATCTTGCTTGGAAGGCCGCACACATAGGGTTTTTCTATTCTATTTGCGGACCACAAAAAAACGCTGCTGGGCCGCAACTTTGCCCGTCTGTGGTATAAACCAAGTGTGTTTCTATTTTCTGTTTCTATTTTGTTTCTTTGAAATTTATACAGTGTATGTACTATACTATCTCGAAAAAGAAGCATGCTATCTTGAAAAGAAGCCAATGGGCTCTTTTTCTAGAGGCTTTTTTTCGAGGCTAATTTTGCAAACTAAAGAGGAGGCTTTAATTCGAGATGGGCTTCTTCTCAAGATTAAGCCCATTGGTCTTCAATTCAAGGTTTTAGGGTAGTACAATAGGATCTGGAGCAAAGGTCAAAGATAAGATAATTTTTTTTGTCCATCAAATATGTGGAAATTCATGGTACATTTGGCATCAATTAAATTACAATTGAATTTGCGCTGAAATAAAAATTTTTAATTGTTATCAAAAAGAATGGAATTAGAGAAACATATTAGTAAATTTATATCAAAATTCAAATTGCATTACAAATATAAAATATATATAAAATTGCTTTATCAAAAGGAATTTCATCAGGTATGACAATTCCCCTTTCTTGAAGCAATGATCCATGCTTTGCTTTGGCTACACTTGTTTTATTGGTTGGTGACTATTCACTATAATAATGAGGCCTACTGTACATCATTTAAATTAACTTATTGCACATTGGGGACAAACTGCTTCTTTATGTATTCACATTTTTTTATTCAATAATTTTACTTCTGACTAGATGGTCTTTGGCAAAACAATTTTACTAAAAGAAAAGAAACTTGTTTTCCTTTGTACAGAGCAAATAATATTGTTATACTTTTCCTTTCTATGACAATTTTTCAAAAAATAAAGTTTGCAAATCAAATTATAAATTAAGTCTTGCTCAAGACAAATACCTAGGCAGGAGTAAAAGCAATTTTGTTCATTTGTTACTTACCGTCATATACCGTCTGTAACTCTTTGACATACCCCAAATAGGTTTTCTCATTTTGCACGTCGAATTTGATGGGATTCAACTTCTCTGAAAATTTAGGTATCTGATACAATCCTAAAAGAATATAATACAATAAAATAATATTTATTTATTCTGTCCTTAAGACAACAGCACTTTCAGTGACGCAGCACTGGTTTTACAAGAGGATAACATTAACAAAAAGAAATATGAAATGAGAATACATTATACAGTATAATGTAGTGCTCTGAGATGAAAATGAACCGCAACTAAAGGCCAACTCAGACAGCATCGGCCGACGCAGCCTGACCCGATTTATTGTCGGGGACAGTCTTGAGCAGTCGTGAGAAATATTAAACACGTTTAATATTCTACGACGCGACTGCCCCCGACGCAACCATCACGTCTGCGTTTAACTCACATAGACCCGACGCGACAACAAATTGTGTCGGGCTGCGTCGTACGACGCTGTATGAGTTGGCCTTTACATATCCCATGATAGTTGGTTCTTCGAGAATTACTTTATTCAATTGATCTACATAACCATGTGGTTGCTAGGTAACTATATTGGTTAATTATTACCTAGATCAGCTTTATGTTGTCATAGTATGCGGAACAACAAATATTTTCCCAAGGAACTTCAACAGCAAAAAGTACAAAATTTAAAGAGGTCTCAACTACCCTTACAATATGTTGGATGCACACATAAAAATGAAAAGCTAAATACTTTCACAAAATAGGGGGCATCCTAGTATTAGAATTTGAAGAGTTTGAAACTCGCACATGCATTTTATTGACGCAGCTTGCATTCAATACGAACACCTTTTACGTCCTTTTGAAGGCTGCACTTTAGTTCGTGGTTGTACCTTTCAAGGTAGGATTCCGTTTCTGACCTCTTACAATTCTATACACTTTGAGAACAGCAATTATAGAATCATGAGTTAGTTGGTAGAGAGACGCGCCTGAAATGTTTGTTCTAAATACTTTAGTTTACAATAGTTCCTAGAATATATAAAGTGGTAAACTATAGACTTGTCTTTCTTGATTATTAATGACTAATGACTTTAATATATAGTTTTTTTTTTATTTTATAAAAAAATTTGATCGCCATTTTCTCCCAGTTTTCTATAAACTTGCTATATTTTTATGAAGTGGTAAGCTATATTATTAATGGACCATCTTAATTTTATATAGTAGTTATAATTTTATAAATTTTTAACAAATGTAGGTGTTAATTTTTTAATTTTGTGGATGCATATTAGGTTCTAACTGATTTTCCTACAGTAGGTATACTTGCTTGACACTACTTGAATTTTCTCGTTAGGTATTTTCATTTTTTATAAGGGTGTCTTGAATTGTAGTTTATGTTGTTAAGTGTCATTCAGTAATGTGATTTTTTTTTTTGTAACTTGTCTACTTTTACTTTAATTTCCATTGTGTTTATCTGCACAATGTATTTTATAGCCTTGTTGAAAAACACCAGGTGAAAAAGTGTTTCCATAGTAAAATAAAGTTTTTATTATTATTATTCCACGAAAATGTGACATGGACCAAAAAATTAAAATTAATGTAATGAAGCCAAATGCCAATAATTTGCATTGTATACACATGAAAGTGTGTGAAAAAACTAAAAACCAATGTAGTTTACACACCGTCTGGGCAAAACCTAAACCGAAAACCAAAATGATGCAAATACTTCAAAATGTAGCTGAAAATTATGCAATTTTTCAACACATGTTATTTAAATCCACAGGAAGGATTTCAATTCAATTAATACTTTATGTAGTAGTATATAATACATAATTTCTATGTGACAAAAGTTTCAACAATAATATCTATTCAGTCAAGCTACAGGAGCATCTGTAAATATTTGCATGGGGCCATGTAACTTAAGTTTCAAGAGACGATTTTATTGTGGAAGGCGCACTACAAATATCCCACCATTACCATTACCATCACCATAACAGTTAATTTGTTTTGTTTTTTTATAATAAATATTTTTCAGCCATGGAGGAAAGTAACATTGCATACTGCTGTATTAGGTAAAAGTAATAAATGTCCAAGTGTGAGGACGAAAATAATATCAAAGTAGGGATTGGTGGTACTGAAGACCTACAGTATATCTGATACGATACGATACGATAATACTTTATTGCAATTTGATCTTATACAGTACAAATTGAGGTTGAACTGGGTATTACTATTAACGGTATGTTGGGTATGTCTTCATTTTTGCAGTTAGCAATATAGTAGGCCAACGCAATTATTACTTAATTCATAGAATATAGTGGGGGTACTTTGAAAGTGGCACCCCATTAAGTATATTAAAAGTTTTCCCAGTGCAGGGAAATGAGAAAATATATTTATCAGTTACTTAAAAGGATGACTGGAAATTTGAGGATACCAACGTATTACCAATATTTTCCAGCATCTTAGTGAAATTTCACATTGTTGAAGTGTTCTAAATTAATATGAAATATAGTGTATTGTAGTTTCTGAAATAAGTTTGCAGATTGAATGCGAGTAATAATAAAAATAATACTGTAGTTGAGCTATGCCTCATACAGGTATGGACATATACTGTAACTCCAGTAATCACTATTTAAATCTAATGAAAAATTTATCTGATTTAAAATAAATTGTTGGATTAATCTAATTTTTAGGGTATTTACACATAACACTATACACCTACATGTAAAATAGCAATTAAAATTTTTTTTAAATATAATTAAAGTGATAATTCAGTCCATATATTCAATTTTGTTTGTAATAGAGACACATGGTAACGTAAGTTACCGTAACGTAAGTTACCGCAACATTTTGACATTTGACCTATTAATTGTAATCTGTTTGAATTTTTAGTTTACCTGTTAATAGTTCAATGACCAACAATAATGTGATATGCACTGACTTTACTAAGGGATATTCTGTATGAGACTTTCTGAAAACTGGTTTTTAAAAAAAAGTGCATGTCTTTTGTGTAACGCAAGTTACCAAGGCTTGAATACGTTAAAAAAATTTTTTTAAAGCAGTTGAAAGTTATAAAAGGATTTTCAGAAAGGTTAAACTTTACTGTTTTAAATAATACTTAGTTATGCTGATAAAAGAGTAGATGAAAGTAGGTAAAAATGTAACATAAGTTACCATGGAATTGACCATTGATATTGATATATTCCTACTATTAATATTACTACAGTATAACTATTAGTTAATTTCAACTTACCTGGAGTTCCAATATAGGACTTAAATTTAGGTTGGTCGTCTGTTATTGTTTGCAGAAAAACTATTAACATAATTGCCCAAAACACTGCTAGACATGTGTAGAACACTAGATAGAACAACCCGATTTGTGCTGTGGAAAACAAAACACATCAAATGTCAAATCATCTCACAAAAAAAGTGGTACTGTATACATGCCAAAATTTGAATAATAAAAATCAGGACAAAATTTTAAAGATGTACATGTTTCTTCATAGATTTTTAGTATTTTAGCACTGCGCGCAAACTGAGGGCCGTAAGGTCGGGGTCAGGGAAAGTCTGGGATTCCTTCTGTTTAGAGAGCCAAAATGATTTATTTCGATATGTACCTAATTACTATAGAATTTGTAACATTTGAATTAGGCTAAATTCGACTGTCCGTATAAATAGTGATTAAATTCATTCTTAAATCAGAAGCTGGGGAAAATCAGGAGAATGATTTTCAATCAGGAGGCAAGCCTCAAATTGAGGAATCTCCTTGTCAAATTAAGAGTATTGTCATGTAGCCATGATGTGCCTATATGGTGGTCATCAAGTACCTGGCAATTAAGAAAATATGGTTTCCCAAAAAATGGAAACAACTGAAATTATAATAAGTTTTCTTTGGAGGAAGTACTGCGCCATAAGAAAATTCATTTGAGGTACTGTAGGATTGGGTGCTATCAGTGCTATAAGAAAAATAGGCTCCCGCGGGAGCGTGTGTCTACTGCCTTATACAGGAGTTTTTTGTTTGTTTTTTTTTTAATTGTATATTATGTTCTTCAATTTACAGATGTGTGTATTATTGTAGCGTATCTGGATATTTCCAATTTTCTTTCATAACAATATTCTGTATAGGCCTACTACTATATTACACTAAAAACACTTTAAAAATGAGTAACTTTGGGAGTTACCACGTTATGTCGTTGATCACGAAGAGTATTACCATGTTCTAGAGGGCATCCTTCAAATGACGGTAAAAGGTGTTCGTGGAGAACGCGTGCTGCGTCTCTATAAGGCGTGTTCGAGTTGCGAACGCAATTTTGTTGAGTTCCGAACACTATTCGATTGTCAATAGAGCACCCCCTACCCCGTGGTATAGTACCCATCATGAATAAACCGAAAATTACCCTTTAATTGGGGGCAGTAGACACAAAAACCTATTATTATTAGGCTTTGCTTCAAGTTTGAGTAAAAAAATCTATCAAAAATGACCATATTTACAAATAGTAATGAAGCGCATTTCTACTGTATCTTTAATGGCACCAGCCACATTTGATTGGATGTTTGTCTACAGTATCTTATCAGTATAATGCTATCACAGCAAACAAACAAATGAGAAGACTAGCCAAGACTACTATATATCTAGCCGACATATGTGATTCCACATGACAGACACCTACACACGAGGCCTGCATCCAAGGGGATGCGTCTGATATGTACACATCTCCCCCAACCATGCGAGAAAAAAAAGAAAAAAAAAAAATTTGAAAAGGTCTGGACAATTTCAAAGAGATTTGATAACGTATAAAAACATGAAATTTGTTATTTTTCGTATTGAAACGAAGATTAAAAGGGAATATTTTGTTCTTTCTTTACACCCTTTCCAAAGAGAAAAAAAATCATAATCATTATTACAGCAGTATATTTACTGTACTATATTATAGAGCATGTTACAGAATCATACCTACTGCACATAAGGTACAAATAAGACCAAAAGATTTTTTGTTGGTTTTTAAATAAGCACAACATTCAACATTTTGCCTCCATCTCAATTTGTTCGTATTCTTCCTTATTTAAGCAAGTCAGCCTCTGTGTTCTTATTAAATTAAGCACACCCCTGTTCTCTGTTATTTTCTGACTAATACAGTAACCAAATATCAATTATAATAATAACCACTGCAAATATTGCTATCCTTTCTATTATTATGTCTACTTTCTTTTCCTGCATTCTGCACTTTTTTTGTACTACATAATTGTTTGTAAACACTTGCCACACATAAAATATAATGAGACACAAATACCTAAATATGTCCTTTAAAAAATGGTATTACAGTACCATGAAACCTTGGGTATAAAGCCAGCTCACATTGTATTTTACGTGCCAGCGTTTCATAAGAGAAAAGATCGGGACATGATATGAATAAGTAGCTCATATCGCGTCTACAAACACTTTCAGGAGGTAAAAAAAAATCAGATTAGCATTTATTTAATGTTTTGAACATTTATTAACTTATTCTTTTAATTTGTTTTTACATAGGAAATGAAATGAAACAGCTCAGTTGATATTTTACTATACAGCTGTACATGCAAAAAAAAAAAAAAACTAATACAAAATAAAAGATGGGCTTTGAATTAGTAATGCAGTGTTGAATCTTGTGGGATGGGGAGGGGGAAGGAGGGAGAGTGGCCTTATACATGAAAAACTATGGTAATTACTATATAATTCTTAGAATATGTAATAAAACTGATACTGATTATGCAAGAGAGTGGTAGACAATTTGCTACAGCAATTCCTGGTCCAATCAACTGCCAAATAAATTTAAAAATTTGATATTAGCATCAACATGAAAATGCAGAGTATTATTACAGGAATGTGTACAGTACTTCCTCAAGTCAGGGCATTCATAATCAGGCCATGAGCATCTACAAACAATAGTCTAGAAATTTGTCATCCAAAGAGCAAACTGTAATTAAGATTAGAAGGCAAGCTCATTGACGTTCAGCTCAACAACTCAACACTAGCTTGACAGACGATAACGCATTCTTAAATTAATGCGGACTAAATCTCTCAACTAGAGAGGATATCAACCATTAGCACACTATTTTGCACTGATCATTTGAACATCTTCTATAACGTAATGCAGGCAATAAGGAACATGAAATAAAAATCCCATTTTGCTTGATGTGTTCATAGTGTAACCCCCTATATATTTTGTTTTCATCGACTGATCAGATCAGATATTTTTCATGTCACTTTCATTAAGCTGCTGCAGTGACATCGAGCAGTTTACAGCTGAAAATGGCCATTCAGCGTTCAGGAAAATTAATTATGAATGGGACCAAACTGACTTTCAGTAGGCTGTTACAAATGATATTGATGTTGCTTAGTAAAAATATGTATATCAATATCTTATTACCTCCTGTTATTATGTAACATTAACTGTCGGTGTCAGCAATTTGATTGACAGCAGAGGAATAACTCAGTCTGACATATAATTATGTTAATGAGATTACGAAAGGAAATTAATAACCATGAAATATATACCTCAAATTCCACATAAATAATGAATTATTATCATTTACAACAGTTATTGCATAACAATTGTTCATATAAAAACATGAAAAATGATATTCATGTATAAAACTTGAATATTAATGAGCTTCATTATTCAAGATAACACATTTCATTTCCAAGAGCTGTTAACTGCATTTTTCCCCACAAATACAAATATATCTTTTTCATATTGCCTAATACCCTTAATTATTCTTTATGAATATAAAAACATTAATCGTGACCAGCTAGGCATGCCTATGATGTCATATCTTTCACACTACAGTATCCAACTACGTTTTATAAAATTACATTAACATTTTAAAGTATCAAACACAATCAATAATATACTGATCTTTGGTGATGTAATTATATATTTTGTCAACTTGATTTTTAAATGTAAATATTTTCATGTTTTGATGTTGAATAACTATTCTGGCACGTTTTTTCAGGAAGTAGAGACAAGTTAGCCGCAACGACATTTTATATATTTTTATATTCATGTAAATTCACTCTTATAAATAAGCCCACCCTTTTAAGTTAATAAATTTGCACAAATGCCACGCTCTGGTACATACAGTACATGTAATGTTTACTGCTCATGTACTATTTTATTTCCCAGCTAAGAGCCCACCATCACCTCAACTCAATTTCGCTGTTCGTTCGGTCTAACACCCTGCTTTATTCCACCTCTAATTTGTGGTTGCACAAGGGAATTTTCACCAGAAATTATTAGAAACAATTGTCAGGCAGCTTTGTCCAAAATATTTATTAAAGTACTTTAATACTCTGTTTAATACTGAAATAGAAACTCTGATTCTAATGTGCTATCAGGTGCCACTACACAACATTACATCAAAGTAGATAATGATGTACTGCCAGGCTCTAGATATCAATCATCATTAGGAGGTGTTTCGTTGGTCAGTAAATAAAATTCTATTCTGCAGCTCGTACCAAGCAACATAGTCCATCCATCAATTTGGTTTAATAGTTATTACTTCTTGAAGAATACAGCTAAATATTTGATGGTGATAAATACGAAATAAATATCATTCTGAATAAACTGATGGACAAATTATCAATTTCTAATATTCTTCTAGAATTTGACACCTGACATCTTGCCTGTAACAACTGCAACCTGAGTAAATATTCTGCTCATAACAACATCGATTGATTACTAAAAAACCTGATAAAGCAAGAAGAAATGCTAATTCAGTGCGCTAACGAGTCGATACTATGGCAACATGGTTTGTCACCAGAGTAACAAGTGCATCCAGGTAATCTTATGAATGATATCAATTTGCTAAGATTTCTGACAAAATATTCAGCGCATTTTACAAACTGTCAAATGGAAATTTGAAAAATCCACCTTTAAAATAAAAATAAAAATATATGGAAAATACAAAAATAATTTTGATATAAAAACAAACCTTGTTCTTCTTAGAGTATAATTTAAGATCTGCAAAACCGACTGTACGAGTCACTGAAGATATATTTAGAGTTAGCATTTGAGATGAAGACCTGATTAAACACATAATTTCCTAAAATTGACAGTTACTTTTCAACCATGATCAATAAACTTAATTAACATAATATCCACTAATAATACAAATAATTAGTTAATATTTTTCTATATCAAATTATTCATGGGTTTGCATACTTTGAATGTAGACTCAATGTGATATATAATAGTAATATTAATGAACCATAAATCTGTTATAGAAAAATAATCAGATTTCTCATCAGCAATGGCACATACCGTACATAGAGTAGATGGTCTACCATTACTTCACAAACCACACCCGTAACTGGCAAAGCTTATAGTAATAGGGTAACAAATG